TGAAGAAGAAATCTCTAAGACATGGCATGCAATTGGGAGGGCAAATTGGGCACTTCGAGCCCATATTGACTATTCTTTTAATAGCCATACCTAAGCCCTATAATAATCCATAAAATTCCTTTTTGAGGGTTGGATCATACTCAGATTAAAGAGCTTTTAGGTTCAATGACGAAAGGCCTTGTTTTTATTTCCCAAACGCTAAAATTGACCTTAGTTACCCACTTTGAGCCAAAAGAAAAGGCAATCATCATAATAGAAAAGCCAGGATGATTATTTCTTTGAATGTACCTGCATCAAGAACCTGGGGTGTGAAGAGTGAAATTAGGGGGGGCAAAAGCGATTTTATCATTGAGCTCATATGTCCTTTCTTTTTAATTAGCCAAGCCTTAGACCATGATACAAGCTTATTCAAAGCCCTTATTAGAGAATTTGAAAGTCATTGAATTTGAGTGTGATATTTCTCAAAAAAAAAAAAAAAAAAGGAGAAGAAAGAAGGAAGGAAGATGAATAGAAATAAATGTGGCAAACAAGTTTGGAAAATTTCATTTCTCTAGCCAAAATCTCGATTTTTGAAAAACTCAAAATTTCACTTCTTTCCTAATTATTCTCATTGGCACTTTCACTATTTGAAATTCTTACAAAGCTAATCTTGAGGAATTTGCTCATTTATGAAAATGGGATCAAAAGCAAAAAGTGAGAAAAGAAGTTTGTGTTTTGGGAGTTGCTTTTGAAAAAAAAAAGAAGGACATTTGTATGAAAATTTCATTGCTCTAGCCAAAATCTCGATTTTTGAAAAACTCAAAATTCCACTTGGTTCCTAATTATTCTCATTGGCACTTTCACTATTTGAAATTCTTACAAAGCTATTCTTGAGGAATATGCTCATTTATGAAAATGGGATCAATTTCTTTTTGAACAAAAAAAAAAAGAGGAAGATTCAAAAGCAAAAAGTGAGAAAAGAAGTTTGTGTTTTGGGAGTTGCTTTTGAGAAAAAAAAAAAAGGACGTTTATATGAAAGGGGCATCTTAATTGTGTTCTAGGTCAAATTCGTAGTTGTTACTTATGGAAGTTAAATCACATTATTTGTTCATATAATCCATTGTGCTTCACAAGATTTTTTGTTAATCATACCCACGATTGATTTAAACATCACTGCATTTGACATTGATTGAAAGGTTCAAAAATCATCATTTTTGCATGTAGGATTTGACATTTGAAAAAAAAATGACAAGTAGATGCATTGAATTCTTGATGATAGTATGGGTGAATCAAACATGTTCACAAAATTTAAAGCATCATCAAAGATGGAAAAGATTAATAACGGTTCAAGATGACACTAAAGGACATTTGTTAATCTCTTGAGCCTATAAGGTTTAAAGTCGTGATATTGATGAAAGTTCAAGATGGAATTGAACATTGACAAGAAGCACAAATTATTTGAGGTTTGAGGAAATGCTAATTTGATTCAAGATCCTTGTTAAAGAAGAAGAGATCAAGTTGCATCTCAAAAAAAAAAAAAAAGACGAAGTTGCGTCTTAAAAAATCACATCTTAGATGAAGTTGCATTTTAAGAAGAAGAAGAGATGAAGTTGCATCTTAAGAAGAAGAAAAGATGAAGTTGCATCTCCAAAAAGAAAGATGAAGTTGTGTCTTAGAAAGTCACATCTTAGATGAAGACAGCATCTAAGGAAGAAGAGGAGATGAAGACCGTCTTTCACAAAAGATAAGATGAAGACCACATCTTAGAAGTCACATCCTAGATGAAGACTGCATCTAAGGAAGAAGAGGAGATGAAGACCACATCTCACAAAAGATAAGATGAAGACCGCATCTTAAAAGTCACATCCTAGATTAAGATCGCATCTCAGGAAGAAGAAGAGATGAAGACCACATCTCACAAATGATAAGATGAAGATTACATCTTAAAAGTCATATCCTAGATAAAGACAGCATTTGAGGAAGAAGAAGAGATGAAGACCGCATCTTAGAAGTCGTATCTTAGAAGTCACATCCTAGATGAAGATCGCATCTCAAGAAGAAGAAGAGATGAAGACCACATCTAAGGAAGAAGAAGAGATGAAAATCGCATTGTAATCCTAGCTAGCTACCCAAGAGGGGGGGTGAATTGGGTCTTATCAATTTAAACTTAAAAACTTGTTTCTTTTTCTTTCAAAACTTAAATCAAATTTGCAATTTATAAGCTGTTATGCAGAATAAACAAAGAGTAATATAGTGCAGAAAAATAAAAGAGAGGGAAGAGAATATAGCCGTGAATTATAGTGGTTCCTCTAACCCGGAGTACGTCCACTCCCCAAGCCTCCTTGCTCAAGAGTTCAATCCACTAGAAATCTCTTGCTTACGGATGCAAGATTAAATTGGAACAAACTCTTGCTTGCGGGTGCAAGATTAAACCCTCACAAGTGAATCTCAACTCACTCAACCCCCTTCAAGGATTATCCCAATTCAAGAAGAATACAAAACCCTTGTAAGACAATTAACCTAAAAGCTCACAAGAAGAGAACAAGAAGGAGATCCAGAACAGTTTCAAACTTTGTTTTCTGTAGCAGTTCGTCCTTCTTCATTCATGTCCAGATCTGATTTTATGATCTTTTTAATAGTAGGTTTGGAGCCTTGCAATTAAAGCCCATTTAGCCCTTCAAAGCCACCTCACTAATGCTCCAATTAGATTCCACCTTATTCTACTAACTCTGACTTGACTTTGGAAAGTGCTCAGACAATTGGTTCGCCCAAGGCCCATTAAGAATAAGAATAAACGGATAGTTGAGCTATCAAAATTTAACCTTCCATAATTTTTGCTTCGAAGCCAGAAATAATGGTTCGAACCATTTTTGGAAAAAAGAAGTTCAGGATTGGTTCGAACCAAATTAAATTGGTTCGAACACAGAACTCTGAACAAGGGGAACATGAATTAATTCTAATCGTGGGGAAAGATTAGAATCCTTGAATTAATTTTCCTGCACACTTAGCACAAAAATAGATTAAACTCTTTTGAATCATGATTTTAAATCATCATCAAAATACAAAGAGAACCTAACAATCTCCCCCTTTTTGATGATGACAAAATTTCTTAAAATAATAAAGATAATAAGTGTAAGCTCCCCCTCAAAATATGCTTCCAAGTTTCAATAGGAATTGCACAAACAAGTAATAAAGATAATTTTCATTTAAGTTCCTCTCCCCCTTTTTGTCATTAGCAAAAAGAAACATACAAATCAGCAAAATGCAATAGACAAAAGATAATACCAAGATAGCATCAAAGTCAAACATTTTCTATAACTAAACCAAAATTCTTACCTACTTTGCCAATACCTTTGATGTGACCTTTTGCATTGTCACCAAAAATCATCGTTCCTCCTTCCATTGCCTCAAGGTTTAAGAATTGTGATTTGTCTTGTCATATGTCTAGAACACCCATTGTCCAAAAAATTTTTCTTTCTTCAAATTTTCCTTAAAGCTTCCTTGAAAACACAACTTAAGCACTTGATTTTGGTACCCAAACTTTCTTGGGTCCATTTAAGTTAGTCGAACAAGTAGAAATTTTCTTAGGAACCCACTTGAAATTCATCTTAAAGAAATTCTTTCTAGTATAGCACTGATGAATATAGTGTCCCCTTTTTAAACAATAATGACTAATGATACCATAATGAACATGATTATCTCTAGAACTTGATGCTTCTACTATGTCATAAGAATGCAAAGTATTACAATTCATAAAAACAGTAGATTTAGATGAGGAAGACTTAGATAATTCAAAAGAAGGTCCAGCTCTATTATGAGGAAATCTTTGTGAACTTAAATTGTTATCTAACTTACCTTTGCCTTTCACAAAACTGTTCAGAGAACATTCAAGATGGCTTATTTTCCTTTTTAATTCATCTACCAGCTTATCATGCTCTTCAATCAACTTTTGTTTGCAATTTTTAAATACAATTGTTGACTCCTCCAAGTCAATTTCCATATTTCGATTAATTATCATTTCATGATTTAAAGATTCTTTCAAATCACTATTTTCTTTTCTAAGTGACAAAATTTCCCTTTTTAAAGATGCATTTTTTGCACTAATTTGTTTAGTATGCTCATATAATTCACTAAATGCATCTTGCAAATCTTCATATGGCATTTCATCATCACTAGCATGATCAAAAATAGAAGAAGAAATGGAATTTACCTCATCTATGTCATCATTTGCCATGAGACAAATATGAGCTTCCATGTCACTTACTTCTTTACTAGAAGATGAGTCCTCACTGCAGGTCTACGTGGCAACCATTGCCTTTTTTTTCTTTTTGGCTTTTAGACTCTTTTCATCATTGTTTGGACACTCAGATTTAATATGTCCAGCCTTCTTGCATTTATAACAAATAATCTCATCCTTTTTATTGCTTTCTCCCTTTCCTTTACTGCTTTTTCAGTTTTTCTTTTATTGTCCTTGATTCTTTATCTTGTCTTTCCTTAGGAAACTCTTAAACTTTCGAGCAAGCACTATAAATTCTTCATCATCCTCCTCATCATTGTCACTTTCATCTTTGGAGGAGCTTTTGAAAGCTACAAATTTCTTCTTCTGAGAATCATCATCACTTTCATAATTTTTCATGGCCATTTCATGTGTAAGAAGCTTCCCTAGCAGCATCTCAATAGTCACGGCACTTAAATCATGAGCTTCTTCTATTGTCATCTTGATTAAACTCCAGGATTTTGGCAAGGAGCGAAGAATTTTTCTGACCTTATCTTCCTCAGGAAGCACCCTATCAAAAAGCTTTAATTCATTAGTGATTTTGGTAAAACGAGTAAACATGTCTTTAATTTCTTCATCTGATTCATTATGAACAGCTCATATTTTTGAACTAACATGTTAATTTTTGATTTCTTGACTTCATTAGTTCCTTCATGAGCCACTTGTAATTTATCCCACATTTCCTTAGCAGAATCACATGCACTAATTCTATCATATTCACTGGGATGTAAAGCACAGAACAATGTATTTTTAGCTTGAGCATTAATCTACAATTTTTTTTCTATTAGCATCATCATATGATGCAGGATCCTTAGGAACAAGTTTGTTATTTTGGTCTCTAGCTAATACTTTATAAGGTCCTCTAGCAATGCAATCCCACATCTCATAGCTGTTTGCTTCTAACCAAATCTGCATCCTATTTTTCCAGTATTGATAATTTGTTCCATCAAAATAAGGTGGCCTAGTGATTGAATGACCTTCAACAAAATGAGTTTGGGAAGCCATGGATCTACTCTAGATTGTTAAATCTGTTTCTAAGAGAACCTGCTCTGATACCAATTGTAATCCCAGCTAGCTACCCAAGAGGGGGGTGAATTGAGTCTTATCAATTTAAACTTAAAAACTTGTTTCTTTTTCTTTCAAAACTTAAATCAAATTTTGCAATTTATAAGCTGTTGTGAAGAATAAACAAAGAGTAATATAGTGTAGAAAACTAAAAGAGAGGGAAGAGAATATCAAGCCGTGATTTATAGTGGCTTCTCCAACTCGGAGTACGTCCACTCCCCAAGCCTCCTTGCTCGAGAGTTCAATCCACTAGAAATCTCTTGGTTACGCGTGCAAGATTAAACCAGAACAAACTCTTGCTTGCGGGTGCAAGATTAAACCCTCACAAGTGAATCTCAACTCACTCAACCCCTTCAAGGATTATCCCAATCC